TTTCCTTAAACAAAAAAGCAAAAGATTATATTTATTTCCGACTAAAAGCAAATCTAGAACTGCATCTGTTAGAATTTCTAAGTTTAACAAACAACTGTAATAACGCTACTTTAGACCTGCTGTATTGAAGACATTGCAATATAGCATGGATCCAATTAGATTTAACATTGGAACAACTGAGGTAGGTCTGCATGGACTGAGAATTCATTTTTGCAAAAAAAAAAATGTGGTGAGATATAAGTTCAAGGTGAAGTAATTATGGAATTCTTGCCACTCTGGTTGGCACTCAGGTACGTTTAATGGTCTTGAGAGCCTGTTTTGTTGGGGGCTTTCTCTTGGGGTTTACAGTACTCAAGTGTTTCTCTTATTTAAATTTAATTTATTTCTGTTAATTCAATACATGGCAGCCCAGTATGCTATATATATTAGCAAGTAACTTGGATATAAGTTATGCTGTTACTTTCTAAAAATAAATGTCACCTAAGTAACCTTTGCTTTGTTAAATTATATTATCTTGAAAGATATGCAACTCTGCAGTTGAAGATCACTTGAAAAAGTGATATGCTAGAATATAATATCTCTATAGTCTTAGAAAGATAACAGTTGTTTTTCTCTCTTACGTAAGCTTGCAAGGGCATTAATGACCCTTCTGATTTAAAGTCACAAAAGTTTCCAAGAAGCAGCTGCTGTAGATAGGGGTAAGGAGATAATAAGTTTTTAATAACTTAGAATTTGCATAAGTTTATATAGCCCAATTTGCAAACAATAGAAACTTCTTGTGTAGACCAACTTGATGCTGAAAGATGAGATATTGGAAAAGGGCTTTTCTGGAGTGGCAGGTTAGCAAAATTTCTATCTGAATAATGTTGTCAGAGTATTTGTATAGCATTAATTATGTGTCATGGTGGCTAGAGTGTTTAGATGTATTTTTATTGTTTACATTGAAATGAATAAATACATGTATAATCAGGTATCTTCATGCATCATTACAATATTCATGTACTGAGCTTGCAACTGCAGGTGCAAAAACAAGTTGTCCTTGGACCTTAGTCTCTACATTTAGAGAGATAGGCCATAGCGTGGCTTCTGCATATCAGCGAACAGGTTCAAATTTTGTCCTTGTTGACAACTAACATTTTGTGTCAAGAACAGAGGCCATTGTTCAACTGAGAGGGTGTACAGGTGTGTCAAGGTGAAATGTTTGGGGTGGGTCAATTGAAAAACCATTTTTAAATGGCAAATCCATATATTATTTCAAATCTAGAAAGCTAATCTTGCTGGTTTGCAGTAATGGATATTGCATCTGATTATGGATTTAGGTCTTCTGGGGTAGGGACAGACATTACACATAAACAGGCTTAAGTGATCAGAAACTGGTTTCTTAAACCTGTAACAGAACTGATGCTCAGTGCACATAAATCAGTTTGAAAATGGCTGAAACTACTTTGAGATAAACCTGGTTGAATGTAGTATTAGACTTAACTGATTTGGCTCAAACTGGTTTTATGCAATGTCTGTCTCAGACCCCTTGCTGGGTTAAGTTAAATCAAACTCCCCCAGCACCCTGGCATGCTCTCTGGGCTGGGCAGGGCTCTCTGCTCCACAGCAGGGCTGGATCCTCCCCTCTGCTCCCTGGCCGGAGCTCCAGCAAGACTGAAGGCTGCTCCTGTTCCCCCTCACCACTACACAGGAATTCCCCACTCCCCTCTGTATTACTAAGGAGGTGTCTGTGTATTATCTAGCAGACCACATGCTGGCTCCCATCCATGCTGAATCAACAGGCAGAATCAACAGGTAGCTGGTAATGTCCCTCTGTTGTTTTCTTAATGGGGTGAAAAACACTGAGTTAGGGGATGATAAATACTGTTATCAATTCCCTGCTGGGCTAATCAGAGCATGTTGCCGGGGCCTGGCCACACCCCCCTCAGCTCAGGGCTGTGCAAGGGAAGGAAGGGCTGCTCTAGCACCCCCCAGCTTCTAGCCTGAGCCACTGCAAGCATGTGCTGGCATTACTGGGAACTCTGTGCAGTTACAAAATGATTCAGCCTAGCCAGGTTAGACTAACATGCAAAGATTGTATCAGTTCAAGCTTAGGCTTTTGAGTGTCTGTCCCTAGCCCTGAAGTATTATGGGAAGCAAGAATAAATATACAAATGAAACCGATCTTTAACTCTGGAAAGGATATGGATTAATTTCTTATTTATGCAGAATTTAGGGCAATGATAAATTCATTTGGTATGCTGTCATGGCAGAAATAATGCCATCCATACCTGGGTTTTTAGTGATCTCGGTAAAACACTGGCTAGCCCTAGATACAAGTGCGTTTTAAAGGGAGACATGGAGTTCTAGAGCAGTGTTTCTCAACCTGTGGGTTGCAACCCAAAAGTAAGTCTCAAGACTATATGAAAGGGTCATGAACAAACTTTAAAAATGGATCAGCAAACTTTAAAAATTGATTTTCATTTAAAGGAGAAAAACATGAGAAGCTGTGGCTTTTCCCTTGTAGGCTGGAACAGCCTGCAAGGGGCTGCTTGGGACTGCTTGGGGCCTTTCATACCCCACATCTCCTCCCCTAAACCTACACACTGTGGGGCTGGAGTCTGGGGGCAAGGAGGCAATGGGTCAGGACTTGCCATCGATGTTTACAAATGGGTCCTGGTACAAAAAAGGTTGAGAGCCACTGCTCTAGAGAAATGGTGTGGGGAACTCTCCAGTCTCCTAAGAAATGCAGAATTCCAATATGGGCTCTGCCACTGACTCACGGGCCTAAGAAAATAGAATTCCCTTTCAGTCAGCTGCACCTACTGAGTCTACAGCTAAATTTTTTTGTTTTTGTCCCAGTTTCTTCTTCTTTAAAACTGAGGTGATATTTACAGGGTTATCATAATAGATAATTGTCCAGTGCTTTAAAAATGTTAGCAGTTCTGTTACAGTTCTGTTAACATGGGAATATATTACTTACTGGAGATGAGGACAAACAGAATCATGGTGCCACACTTTGGGCACAGTGTTGTATCTGTTTGTGTGAGTCATGTGATAAAGGAAATATATAGCAATTAATTCATTTGCAAAGCACTTCAAGATAGAGATATGCAAAGTGTAGCATAGATTCAAATTGCTGTCTCTGTTAAAACTAACTGTACTTCAATATCACTGGGAACTGATGGAGATTTATTTACAGTCATTTCCACATATTTATGATTTTTTAATCAGAAACTGCAGTTATTTAAGATCATAGGAAAGTAGGGCTAGCAAGGACCTCACAAGGTTATCTAGTCCAGCCCCCTGCTCAAGGCAGGGTCATCCTTGACCATCAGTTTAAAAGGACTTGAGAGAAGCACATTTAATGAAATTACTAATCCCAAGGGATTTTAACAGCGATAGCAAAAATGTCTCTCTGAACTCTGAAACTCTTGTCAGGTTTTCAAATTTGTATTCTCTCAAAAGCTCTTGTCATCACAGAAGTTCAAAATCTATTACAGTTTGTGGTGTATTTTTAATTTACAGTGTTTCTCAATGGGATAGCCTCCTTAATTGTACATCTAATTTAGATGGGAGAATGCCAGTTATCCTGTTTCTCAAAAAAATACTTCAGTACCATACAAAACCACATAATGCAGGATCTTGGATTTGAAATAGGCAACAACCCAGAAGAGCCACAATGTAAATCCCTTGTGCTTAGAAATGGCTTCTTAGGTATAAAATCTACTCCAAATTACCTGGCTGAATGCTCATTTCCCTGTTTTCCTCTGTTTGGCACAGCAGTTTCAAAAGCCTGCCTCCCATTATCTTTTAATCCACCATAATCCATTAATCCACTGCTGGCAAAAGCCAGTGTTTGAAACACTGT